GCTCCATCCATACTGGAAGCATGTATCAAGACTTCATTTCTCCTAATGGCTGAATAGTATTCTGTTGTATGTATGTACCATATTTCGTTTATCCATTCATCTTTTAATGGGCATTTAGGTTATTTCCACCTTTTGGCTGTTGTGAATATTGCTACAGTAAATGTTAGTGTGCAAGTCTCTATTTGAGTCTCTGCTTTCAAGTCTTTTGGATATATACCTGGCATTGGAATTGCTAGGTTGTATGGTAGTTCTAGTTTTAGTTTTCTGAGGAATCACCATCCTATTTTCTATAGTGACTGTACCATTTTGCGTTCTCACTAGCAGTGAATAAGGGTTCCAATTTCCCCACATCCTCGCTAACATTTGTTATTATTATTTTTTAATCTTAGCCGTTCTCCCACTGCCATCGAATTGATACCAACTTATAGTGACCCTATAGGACAGAGTAGAACTGTCCCATAGGGTTTCTAAGGCTATAAATCTTTCCAAAAGCATACTGCCTCCTTTTTTCTCCTGTGGAGCAGCTGGTGGCTTTGAACCACCGACCTTTTGGTTAGCAGCCCAATGCTTTTAACCAAAGCATCACCAGAACTCCTTTAGCCATCCTAGTGGGAATGAAATGGTATCTTACTGTGGTTTGATTTGCATCACTCTGATGGCTAATGACTGAGTATATTTCCATATGTTTGGTGGCCATTTGATTGTCCACTTTGGTGAAATGTCTATTCAATTCCTTTCCCCATTTTATGACTGAGTTACTTGTCTTTTTAGGTTGTCATGGTTTTATATATATTTTGGTTATTAGATTCTTATCAGATATATGGTTTCTGAAGATATTCTCCCAGTCAGTAACTTGACTTTTCACTTTTTAATAAAGTCTTTTGATGAACAAAAGTCTTTCATTTTTATGAGTTCCCAATGATTTATTTTGTCTTTTGCTGTTTGTACTTTTTATTATATGTGATAATCCATTGTTGAAAGCTAAGCCTGATAATGTTGCCCCTACTTGTTCTTCTGGGAATTTTATCATGCTATTTTCAGATTTAGGTCCTTAATCCATTTTGAATGTATTTTTGTGTATAGTGTGAGGCATGGATCCTGTTTCATTTTTCTGGATGTGGAAATCCAGTTTTCCCAGGACCATGTATTGAAGAGATTCTTCTTTCCCCATCAAATGGACTTAACAGCCTTGTCAAAAATCAATTGACTATTGATTTACTTCTGGACCTTCAATTTTGTTTCATTGGTCTATGTGCTTATTAGGAGCACTGGTGGCATAGTGCCTAAGACATTTGACTGCTAACCAGAAGGCTGGCAGTTCAAACCCACCAGCTACTCCTTGGATGGAAGACTGCGCAATCTACTTCCGTAGAGATGTTGTTGTTGTTACGTGCCATCGAGTTGGACCTGACTCATAGTGACCCCTCCTTGGGTTTCTGAGGCAGTATCACTATGGAAGTAGATTGCCCAACCTTCCTTCTGAGGAGTGACTAGTGGATTTGAACCGCCAGCCTTCTGGTTAGGAGTCAAGCACCTTAGACATTATGCTACTAGAGATACTGCCTCAGAAACCCAAGGAGGAGGAGTTGCTATGAGTTGGAATTGGCTGGATGACAGTGAGTGTGTCTTATGTGTTTATTGTTAGACCAGTACCAGGCTGTTTTGAGTTTTGTAGCTGAGCATGTCTTAAAATCAAGAAGTATGAGCCTTCCTTCTTTGTTCTCTTTCAACATTGCTGTAGGTATTTGGGACTACTTGCCATTCCATATAAAGTTGAGAATTGGTTTTTCTGTTTCTGTAGAGATGATTGTTAAAATTTTGTTCAGGATTACATTGAATCTGTAGATCATTTCGTGTAGTATTGACATTTTAACAATATTAAATTGTCTAATCCACAAACAAGGAACATCTTTCCATTTATTTAAGTCTTTTTTAATCTCCTTCAGCAGTATGTCAGAGTTTTCATTGTATAAGCCATTCATAATAAAGTCTCTGGTTAGATTTATTCCTAGGTATTTTATTCTCTTACGTGCTATTGTAGATGGAATTGTTTTCCTAATTCTTTCTCAGATTTCTCATTATTGGTGTATGAAAAAAACCAAACTCACTGCAGTTGAGTCGGATCCAACTCATAGCAACACCTCCTCCTTGGGTTTCCGAGGCAGTATCACTATGGAAGTAGATTGCCCAACCTTCCTTCCAAGGAGTGGCTGGTGGGTTTTAACCGCCAGCCTTGTGGTTAGCAGCCAGTGCCTTAGGCATTATGCCACCAGAGCTCCCTTACTGGTGTATAGAAACCTGTTTTTGTTTGTTGACCTTGTAGCCTGAAACTTTGCTAAATTCCTCTATTTGCTCCAGATTCTTTGGGAATAAGCTTTCTGTCTTTCTCCATTAAGTATAATGTTGGCTGTTAGCTTTTCGTATATGCCCTGAGACATACTGAGGAACTTCCCTTCTGTTCCAGTCTTTTTTAGGATTTTTGTGAAGAAAGGGTTTCAGGTTTTATCAGATGCTTTTTCTGCATCCACAGAGATGATCATATGGTTCCTTCTTTTATTGATATGGTGTATCATGGCTGTATTTTTGACACCGTGTGTCCAAATAGAACTTGTCATTTTCTCATCCTCTGTTTCTTTTCTTGGTTGACACTACTATTTGTCTAGGGCATCACTGTAGATACCGTCCTCCATTTTGGCTCCCACACATAACTGGTTGCCAAGTTCTGTCTTTTCTCCTCCTAGCTAATACTTCCTCCTTACCTCTGCGTCTCTCTCAAGAGCTCATCTCAGATACAGTCTATTTCATAATCTTCTAAACTGGTCTTTTTGTCTGTCAGCTTGTTGCCTTCCACTTGGCCTCTCACACTGCCACCAGGATGATCTTCATAAAACACAAATTACATGCTACTATTCCATGTACAGTCCATATACATCCCACCATCCATGTCACTCAGATGCCTCAGTGACTCCTCATAATAGATAAGCCAAGCAGCTTTTCACAGAGTAGAATGCTTTTTACTGTCTAGCTCCATCTGCCAGCCACATTTCTTACACACATACACAGACATATTCATAATGTTTTTTCTCCTAACTATACTCCATATTTCAGAAATTTGGAACGTTTTCTGGTTTCCCCAAGGGCTTTGCCCTTTTCTCCCTTCAGAGCCCTCAGGTATATGACTCTTCCAGCTACAGTGCTCCGCAATTCTTGTGGGCCAGCTGTGTCCTACCCTGGCACAAAGCTCAGTCCAGTCCTGCTTGGTGCAGTACCCACCCAACTCTCTACATCATTTGCACACTGCCCCCCTCTTTTATGGCAGGAGGCTAAGCCCATGTATTGACATTGAGCTATTAGCTCCTAAAGGGAGAAGGATCATCTGAGTATCACCATGCTTAGCATGGTATTGCTAAGTGCTTGACAAGTAATTAAAATAATTTTAATAAAGTAATTAAAATATTTAGTAGGTGCCTGTTAAGTATTTAGTGAATTCAGATGTAACAGCCTTTTATAAGCTAAAATAATTCTGGCTAGTGTCTGTGACGTGAAAGAAGTTGGCTCCATAATTATTCACATGTTGCTGTTTACCTCTGTTTTGAAGGCTAACTTCCCACCCCTGCTGTGTATTTTAAATCTTTCATAGTGTGCATTCAGGCATCACCACTGATGGGACCTAAACACCTGTATGGTCCTGCAGTGTAGTAAATTACTTAGTGTGGCTTTTCTACCCATAAGTCTTTGTAAACTCCAAGGTGGGGTTTGCTATGAGCAACTGAGGAGCTTCTGATTGCTAAAGTTGTCCACCTGGAGTATTTCTGTTGGGAGTGGCACAAAACAATGTTCTGGAAGGTTCCCGCTCTCTCTCAGATCCTGAGACTTCTGATGCTATGATCGGCTAGTTTGGCCATTCTGCCAGGCTCAAAAGGAGGCCTCCTAGAGGCAGAACTCTCTCTGACTGCTGGTTGAGGAAGAAGTGCTGCTGAAAGAGACACGCACTCCTGAAAGAGACATGTGCTCCTGGGAAAGAGATGCAAGAGACATGCATTGCTGAGTAAGACACCAAGGGACATGCACTGTTGGGGGAGAGACTGTGAGAGACTTGGCTGAGAGACTGTGGGCTAGGAGAGAGACTGAGCGTTTTTCCAGAATTTGAATTGTAGCCTGGTGCTTCCCTAGTAAACCCCATAATCTCTGAGTTCTGTGTGGCCACTGCAGCGAATTATTGAACCCAGGAGAGACGTGGTGGGTGCTTTGAGAGGAACGGTTGGCCTCACAGGAATAGGGCTTGGGCTATTGATGGTGATTCTGTCTTCCTCTTGTGGGATTAGAGGAGGTCAGAACATGTGGCCTCCTTGTCCTTTCTGCAGGACACATCTACATTTCCAAGTACTCTATTTGTTCTTTCTTTCTCTTGAGAATCCCATTCAAACCAGTGTGAGGCATAAATGGATAACGTAGTATACAATTTCTTTGCTTTAGAGGCAGTCCCCCATTCCCAGTTTAATCAGGCCTCCCCTTCCTAATATGAGAGGGCTTTCAGGAGACTAGTGTGTTTTACACTCTGTCCATAGAAGAGGCCATTCTGGCAACTCGCTCTTCTCAGTCCTCTCCAGGGTGGGAAGAACAAGTCTCCCTCTTGAAACTGAGCAAAGTACTGAGCCTTTCATCTGATTTTTACCAGAATTAAGGTACCAGCCTATTACTATTATATCTTCTCCCCTGACTTTAACTTTTTTCCTAATTATTACTTGTTAAGTATCTCTTCTCTTTTATAGCTAAGCCCACTATTTAAAAAATGTATTCCTTATTTATATAACCAAATTCCTATTTTGTAATGTACTCTAATACATATACATTTATGAGAAGATTTGCATTCATTTTATGAAATGACACTGTTTTTGGAGTATTATGTAAATAAAATGTTAAAATGCTAGTTTTGTAAGAGTAATTTTTTATAAGAACATAATACTTTCGCAGGCTAAATCTAAAATTTCTTTATTTAGTCTAGCTATATCTTTTGAAAATGTTGACACATCTAAGAAGAAACTCCCTGTTCATATGTTAGATGGTCTGACCCTAAGCTACAAGGTATGTGCTGAATTATAAGAATAATGTTTTCTATTAAAATTATAACATGCAAGTTACAGGTTACCTTCTGTTCTCATTTTCTGGTTTTTATTTTTTGTTGTTTTGTTTTCATAGGTCCCATGGCCTGTGGACATTGTTATAAGTTTGGAATGTCAAAAAATTTATAATCAGGTGTTCCTTCTTTTACTGCAAATAAAGTGGGCAAAATATAGTCTGGATGTGTTACTATTTGGTAGTAAGTATTTTTTCAAGATAAAAATCATAATTTTATAATTACCAAAAAGAGTTTGGTACTCTTACATCATTTTTATGTGTAAACAAATGCCAACATGAGATGTATTTATAGTTTTACATATGTTAGAATTAATGTCTCCAAATGAAATGCCTAGAAATTGTATGTACAATTAGTTTGAAGTTCAATAACGTTTTAAAGAATTTAACCACAATAAATGTTCTTCTTAGGTTCTGCAGAATTTTGTAATGACAAGTTAATGGGACTTAGCATTTACATCTTTCATGGCAGTGATAATAAAGATGATATGAGAAACTTTAAACCTTTCACAAATAGTGACATAGGGATCCCCGATCTGCCTTTTTCAAAGTACTCTTAGCAGTGTCAGTAACTACTTCCATTGGTGTCTTAGTAGATGCTTTTCCCATCTTTTATAGAATTGGTTAGTACTACTGAAAAACCACAACTTAAAGAAAAACTTTTACATGAACAAGAAGTAAATGCTCAATTTGGACCACAAAGGGAATCAATAAGACAACAGATTCATCGGATGTTCCTCTTAAGAGTGAAGCTCATGCATTTTGTGAACAGCTTACACAACTACATCATGACCAGGGTTTGTATCTGTCCACTGCCTTGGTTTTGTTGCCTTATGTAAGTTAATCATAGGTAATTAACCTGTAAATATAGTTATAAATACAGAGAATCTCACCAAATGTAAATGTGAAGATAAGACATGAAAAATTTGATGACAAAGTAACATGACATGGGGGGAATGTTTTTTTAAATATACCAAAGCATGTATATCCAGATGACCATTGTCCTCTTGTGAAGTTTCACCTGTGAGTGGGTACAATTTGGGCTTATCTTTGGAGTTACCTTCAGAACTTGTATATTCTCTTGAATCCTTTAAATTTCTTCAGCAGTGAAAATGACTTCTATTTTTAGGAATGGTCAAAATCTCTCTGGCTAGTGTGGTATATAAAGAAGAAGGAAGATGCAGCCAAATTACAACTTTTGCTTTTCTTAAAAATGAGGAATAACTACAAAGTAAATGAAACTACTTTTCTTATACATCCTATAACCAGTTCTAGAAGAAGTTCTTAAAGAGTTCAAATATTTAAACAAATAAAAGCATTATTAGAGGACAATATTCATTTGCAGTTTATATTTTATTTCTTAAAAAATCTAATTTGTGGAGTTTTAAAAATTTTAAGTCATCTTATTTGGATGAAGTGAACATTAATTAGAAGCCTGTGTTTTTGATGTGGTGAAGGCAACAGAGGTGATCCCTGCTCCCATAGTGCAGTGATGGTCATCTCCCTTTGGTGTTAAGAGTAAATGGTAGGGCTTTAAGTTTTTTCTTTGTTGGCTTTTAGTTTTCTGTTTGAAATCCATCATACTTCTTTTAAAGAAAGATTTGTATGTGAAAAGTGGAATTTATAAAAACATCAACTCAATTATGTGTATTATAAGAATAATACTTAACATTTATGACAAATTTACTAGAGTTTAAAAAAAAAATCACACTCCTCCATGTGTTTTATATATAGTTCAGTTTAGTAACCTATTTTAACCCTTCCTTATCTATACTTCAATTTACTAAGCCCTTACGCACACACCTTAAGGAAGTATTCATTCACTTGTGCAAATGTATGTCCTAATAGATTGATCCCCAACATAATTATAAGGTAAGCACACCAAGGTCAGCCTTAAAGAGTGGTACTTTCAACAGTTGAGGGAAGAATATGAGAGGAATAGAAGAAATGGATTAAAAGTTCTTTATGCAGCACATAAATCCCCAGAGAAGAAATCTGCTGATTAAATTTTTCCTCTTTATTTTGAAAGATTCTTCACAGTACAGGACTGGAGTTTCAACATCAAGTCGAGGAAGCCAAAGATTTAGATCAATTGATTAAAATTCACTATAGATATTTGTCCACCATCCATGATCGATGTCTGCTAAGGGAAAAGGTAAATGATATGTCTGTGGAAAGTTGGCTAATGAAGTGGGAAATGATGTTTATTTGCTTTGAAATTTTGTAATTATTAAGCTTCTGTTCTTCAGAATGTTCTTTAAGGAGTGAGCACCTCATATTTTATTACAAATCTTTGCCACGATACTGGAAATTATATTTAGGAAACACAGATGAGAACTGTGTTACAGCAGTCTCCATTTCCTCTGCACTCATTCTGCATTATATTTGGATTCAATTAGAAAATCTTACTTGCAGTTGTGGAGTAAAATGCTTTAGTCAGAAAGCATGTCTAGCTTAATGCGAATATATGGAATTAAATATTACATCCATTGGAATTGCTTGACTTGTTTCATTGCTGAATTTAAATGCTTGTCCCAAGAAATGGTAGCTTGCTCAATTGGTTAGACTGTACTGATAATAATGCCAATATTGTAGGTGCAGTCAATGGTGCCAGATTACTTAAGATTTCCTTTAGAGCCTAGCGTCTTGCCTTATTCGTAGAAAGTATCCATTGACCTGGTGATCTTTTTCTATGATTCATTTAAATTAGGTAAAAGTAAAAAGTGTTGATGTCACTGTCCAAAATACTTACCCCATATTATATCCATGATTTTAATTTTTCAGGTTAGCTTTGTGAAAGAAGCCATCATGAAGGTGTTGAATTTGGCACTCATGTTTGCTGATGGTTGGCAGGCGGGTCTAGGGGCTTGGAAGTAAGTATGAACTTGTGAAGCATCTGTTTTGTTACCATTATAGCTTTCCTTTGACTGATTTCATTCTTTTGGCCTTTTTTTTTTTTTTCCTTTTATGATCTTGGAAACACATAGAGGCAGTTTTCATTATTTGCTAGTTTATGAATTTGCCTGCTTGCTAAAATTGTTTTTTAAACCCAAAATCACTACTCACACTGCTTTCAAAGTCATTCACAGAAATGCTGTATAATGACTAAATAAAGATTAGAAAAAAGACAGACTTTTTAATTCTCAATAGTGAACAAAAAAGAAACATTCCCCTTTGCCTGTTCTTGAAGCATTTACTTTAGAAAACTTGTAAGTTCTTTTTCTACCTCTTTGAAATGTATATAAATCCTTTTAAAGGCTGTATACCATTTGCCAGTTTAACAACTTAGGGATGTTTCCTCAAAGACCTGGAAGCCGTCTCTTAAATGTAATCAATTAAAGAAAATGGCACTTCTGTCTCTCAGTTTCCTGGAGGGATAGGAGCCTAACTTCAGCTGGTGTTTGGCTCCAAGTTGAAAATTTATCTCTGGTCTTTAAGATATGAGGAATTTTTCTCACCATAGGATATAGGCAGTTGCAAAAAGGACATGGGGCAGCATCATCAGACCTCCTCCAACCTCACAAGGGAGAAACAGAGTCACCATCAATAGCTGAAGACTTATTCTTGTGAGGCCAAAGGCTGCCACCCTCCAACTTTTTTACCAGTTCTGACACCAACTGCCCTCCCATGGCACTCTCTGTTTCTCTTCTGAGTTTGATAATTCATTGCAGTGTCCACACAGACAATGCTCATGATTTTCAGGTTTATTAGAGAAGTAATGGGTTGAAAAGTAGGCTCAAGAATGCTCAGGATACAGTTCTTTGATCAGGACAGTCTCCCTTCTGTCATGCCTTGAGGCATGCCTCTCTTGATGCTTGAAAATTTTGCAGAAAGGGATTGAGCCAAGTAAAGGAATAAGACTTTTGACAAGATGATGCAAAAGGTAGGCAAGCTACACAGACACTGTACAACAAAGAATTGAGAAACCAATTGAAAAAAGATACAGAATATAATCTTGGAACCCTGAGCTTTGAAGGGAGGGTTAAAGAACTAGATTAAATACCAACTAGTAGAAGAACTGGTGTGAAAATAGTGAATAAGGAGGCAAACAGAGCTGCGGACTGTTGGCTATGGTGTTCTAATCCAGGCAACAGTCTTGGAAAGGACTACATTCTTAATTGGAACACCAACTTGAGAATAGACTCTGCTTGCAGAGGGGACAGCACAGACAGTGGCACTGGAGGTTGACAGGTATAAAGGTATTAAGAGGTTGTTTCCCTGTCCTTCTTTTGTCTTTTTTGAAAAAAATTTTATCACCTTTTCTTTCCTTATTTGTTTATATATGTGGTTTGGTTTTTGTTCTGTAGGGGTTTTTTGTTTTTTTGTTTAACCATGTGGGAGACAACAAACATGCCCAAAGTACCCAACCATACCCGCAACTCCTGCAGCCCTACCCACTGAATAAAAGCCACCACTTGATTCTGCAGCAACTTACTAACAATAGAAAAAGGTCAATACCAGCCCAACTTGCCTTCAACTGCTCTCCATGAACAACTAACAGAGATCTGTGTACACAAACCAACAAAATTAAGGAAAGCACAGTAGAAGAATTTGGGAAAACAATACAAGAACAAACGATATAAACAAAAAATTAGAAATGATACAAAAACAACAGATAGAAATCAAGATTAATACTAACATTTCAAAAATAGATAACACATTGAATGGACAAGAGTAGAACTGAATCAATGGAAGACAGAACAAGTGAGATTGAAGACAAAATCCTCCATATTGTTAAGGATCAATCAGAAAAAAGATCAAAATAAAATGAAGAAAGCCTAAGATTCATGAGGGACACCATCAAGAGGAATAATTTACATGTGATCATAATTCCAGAATAGGAAGAGACAAAACCTACAGGGAAAATTGTTATTGGAAGAGAACTTCCCTAATATAACGTAACATAAGATGTGCATTCAAGAATTTCAGTGAACCCTAGAAGAGATAGAAAGAAAAATAAATTCACCAAGGCATATCATAATCAAACTCACAAAACCAAAGACAAAGATAGAATCCTGAAAGAAACACAGGAAAAATGAAAAGTTACCTTCAAAGGGCAACCAATAAGACTATGATTTCATGACAGAAACTATGTAGGCAAGAAGGCAATGGGATGACATACATAAAACCCTGAAAGAAAAAAATTGCCAAGAATTATATACCCAGCAAAATTGTCCCTCGAATATGATGGTGAAATTAGGCCATTTCCAGATAAAGATAAAACAATAATATCCTGATGCTATGAAGAACTTTATTCCAACAAATTTGAAAACCTAGAAAGAATGGACAGATTGCTAGAAACCCCGTACTTACCTAAACTAACACAGACGAAGTTAGAAATTTTGAACAGACCCATAACAGAATCCAGGTAAGGGGAGGAATATAGGCCCCACCCAAAAGACAGGAAGGAGGAAAAGCTAGGGATGACAAGGTGGCAGGATTCAGGTAAAGGGAGGGAGACAGGCCTCACCCAAAAGACAGGAAGGAGGGAAGGATGGAAGAACAAGATGGCAGGACCCAGGTAAAGGGAGACAGACAGAGCCCACCCAAAGGCAGGAAGGAGGGAAAGCTGGGGACAACAAGGCAGCAGGATCCAGGTAAGGGGAGGGCGAAGAGGTTTCAAGCAGCTAAGGGACATGAACTTGTCTGTCAGTTTGTCATCCTGTGGTGGCTTGCACATTGCTATGAGCCTTAAGGCTGTACTACCACTGTGTCAGATGCCAGCAAGGTTACAGATTCTGAACAGTTTCAATGCAGCTTACAGAATGAGGCAGAGTAGAAAGAAGGAAGAGGTGAGGCCATCCACTTCTGAAAGAATTGCTGACGGAAAACCTTATGAATAACAGAGAAACACTGTCTGATACATCACTGGACAACTTTAGGAATAGCCTGGAAACATTGTCTGATACAGTGCAGGAAGAGGAGCCCCTTAGATCAGAAGGTACTCAAAATACTACTTGGAAAGAGCTGCCTCATCAGAGTAGAACCAACCTTAATAATATGGATAAAGTAAAGCTTTATTTCTTGATGTGGCATGACTCACACTGAGAAGAAACAGCTGCGAACATCCATTAATAATTGAAACATGGAATGTACAAAGTATGAATCTAACAAAATTGGACATTGTCAAAAATGAAATGGAACTCATAAAGATTGATATCCTAGGAATTAGTGAGCTGAAATGGACAGGTTTTGGCCATATTTAATCAGACAACCATATGATCTACTATGCCCGGAATGACAATATGAAGAGGAATGACATGGTATTCATCATCACAAAGGATGTTTCAAGAGCTGTCCTGAAGTAAATGCTGTCACTGACAGGATAATATCCATATGCCTACTAGGAAGACCAGTTAATACTACTGCTATTCAAATTTACGCATCAAGCACAAAAGCCAAAGATGGGGAAATTGAAGGTTTTTATCAACTGCACTCTGAAATTGACTGAACATGCAATCAGGACGTGTTAATTATCACTACTGACTGGAATGCAAAAGTTGGAAACAAAGAATCACCAGTAGTTGGAAAATTTGGCCTTGGTGACAGAAATAATGGTGGACATCGCATGATAGAATTTTGCAAGACCAGCAAATTATTCATTGCAAATACCTTTTCTCAATAACACAAACAGCTGCTATGCATGTGGACTTCCATCAGATAGAGTACACAAGAATTAGATTGACTACATCTGTGGCAAGAGGTGATGCAAAAGCTTAATATAACATCTTCAGCCAAAACAAGGCCAGGAGCTGATGGTGGAACAGACCATCAACTGCTCATATCAAGTTCAACTTGAAGTTGAAGACAATCAAAACATGTCCACGAGAGCCAAAATATGACCTTGAATATATCCCTCCTGAATTTAGAGACCATCTAAAGAATAGATTTGATGCATTGAACACCAATGACCGAAAACCAGAAGAATTGTGGGATGACATCAAGAACATGAAAAAAGCAAAAGTTTGTTTAAAATAAACAAAGGAAGAAAAGACCAAAATGGATGTCAGAAGAGACTCTGAAACTTGCGCTTGAGCAGAGACTAGCTAATGCAAATGGAAGAAATGACAAGATAAAATAGCTGCACAGCAGATTTCAAAGAGCAGCTTGAGCAGACAAAGCCAGTTATTATAATGAAATATGCAAAGACCTGGAGTTAGAAAGCCAAAAGGGAAGAATGTGCTCAGAATTTCTTAAGCTGAAAGAACTGAGGAAAAAAATTAGGCCTCAAGTTGCAATATTGAGATTCTATGGGCAAAATATTGAATGATTCAGGAAGCATCGAAGAAAGATGGAAGAAATACACAGAGTCACTGTACAAAAAAGAACCGGTTGATGTTCATCCATTTCAAGAGGTGGCATATGACCAAGAACCAGTGGTATTGAAGGAAGAAGGTGAAGCCTCACTGAAGGAGTTGGCAAAGAACAAGGCTCCAGGTGTTGATGGAATACCCATTGAGATGTTTCAACAAATGGATGCCCCACTGGAGGCACTCACTCAGCTAAGCCAAGAGATTTGGAAGACAGCTATCTGGACAACTAACTGGAAGAGATCCATATTTTTATCCTTTCCAAAGAAAGGTAATCCCACAAAATGTGGAAATTATCAAACAATATTATTAATATCACATGCAAGTCAAATCTTACTGAAGATAATTCAATAATGGTTGCAGCAGTATATTGACAGCTTCCAGAAATGCAAACTGGATTCAGAACAGGATGTGGAATGAGCGATATCATTGCTGATGTAAGATGGATCTTGGCTCAAAGCAGCGAATACCAGAAAAATGTTTACTTGTGTTTTATTGACTATGCAAAATAATTTGATTGTGTGAATCCTAACAAATTATTGGCAACATTGAGAAGAAGGGAA